CTCTTGGTCATCTTTTAAAAAGTGGGAATTTTGCACTTCTGAGTGATAAGAGTTCTTTATTCTACCTTCTAATGACTCTGGCAGAAATATGTTGTTATGATTTGTATTTGTCTCCCAGAGCTCATGTGTCAGAAACTTACTCATTAATGAAACAAGTGTTGAGAGGTAGACTCTTTCAGAGGTAATAAGGTCATAAGGGCTTTGTCCTTGATAAATTACTACCATATTACGGAAGTGGTTTAGTTAAAGAGGGAGTGGATTCCTGAGAATCCAGCCCCACCCCTTCTTCTCTTTGTTCCTGCCATGATATGGAAGCAAGGCCCTTGCCAGATGTGATTTAATCTTGAACTTCTTAACCTCCAAAACTATAAGTAAACCTCTTTCTTTACAAAGTATCCAGCATTAGATATTGTTACAGCAGCAGAGGACAGACTAAGACACATACATTGCAAATATCTTCTTCCAGTCTGAGGCTTATCTTTCATCTTACCAATCTCTTCCCAAGAACAAAAGTGCAAGATTTCAGTTCAAATGCATCCTTTTTTCCTTTTATTAGTCAAGTTTTTTGTATCCTAAGAAATCTTTCTCTAATCAAGGCTACCGATTTTTTTTTTTTAAAAAAAACTCCCAAAATAACTTTCATGCGGAGGTAAAGTTGAGAACTCCTATGGAATTTGGAACTGTTGGGAATTTGGCCCCACTTTCTCAGTTTAATTTTAGTTTCTGCCACAGAAAGCGTATTAAAGGTAAAACAGGAATACTATTAATACTATTCATTGCTGTACTATAAAAACAAGAGATGTGATTCAGTCTTAAGACTGAATTGACCAGCTTCCAAGCTTAAGTGTGAGCAGCTGTCAAGGGCTAGTAAGATTTGAAAAGTAAAGTCAGGGGTACCTTGAATGTGTTCCAGTTAAGTGAAAGGAGGAAGAGAGAAAAGGATTGTCCTCTCCCCTATGGGAAAAAGCTTACCCAAGTTTATTTCAGCTTCAACTGAGCAAATGAGAAAAATGATTTCTGTTCTTACTGCGATTCTGTAAAACATTCCTCCCAGAGATCACATGGAGATGGGAGTCAGACTTGGCAGTATTTGACCAGCATTTTTGAAGCTACCACATTAAACAAATGAAGGTGACAGCAATAATATTTGCCCAACCCTTGCTTCCAACAGAGGTTAGACAGACTGAGCTTTCATCGCACGAAAAAAGATGTCAGGAGTACCAAATGGACTCAATTTTCCCTGGCGTCCTAGACAAAATTGGTTGGTTTTTAAGCTATGGATAGGAGACTACAGGCTACTTTCTCCAGATGTTATGCTTAGCCAAAGCAATCTCCAACACAACTTCATGCAAAATGTATAATATGTCCCAGTAGACATAACCACAAACCAGAGGGCCAGCAAGGAGCATCCCTTAAGGGGGCTCAGTAGCATAGAGAGGCCAATTGTGCAGTCATCCTGACTTCCCCAAATTAGCTGAACTAGCACTGAGCCAGATTTGTGGGTAGTTCTCACATTTAATAAGTCTTTGTTTCCTTCTAGCTAGAGATTCTATCCCTGGGGAGAAAAACATGCTGCCCTAGTTCACTCCCAACTTGTAGATGCTTTCCAACACCTGGTGGGAGAAATAACCCAATGTTGATATGAACACTACTACCTTTTTTTGAAGGTTTCTGTGCAAAATAAAAGACCAGATTAATTGTGTAACTCTATAATTAAGTGAAATACCTACATTCAATGGAAAGAGTAAGAAGACCTGGACCACTCTCATTCCTGCACACGTACCGATAGAGTCCTAATACAGCATACAGATGAAAGCACTGGGTTCTAGAGTCAAATGCCTAGATTTAAATACTAATCATACCTCATTTTTGCTTAATTTCTTTCACTTCAGTCTCTTCTTTCTTTGAAATATTAATAGCATTACTACTTTACAGAATAATTGTGAGGATTAAGGAATGAATGTATATGAAGGGCTTAACACAATATATAACACAGAATTCAAAAAATACTGACTTGTATTTTCATAATTTTCCCCAGTGAATCATTTTTTTATAAATTAAAAAGCCACTATTTTAAAAAAAGAAGAAAATCTATGAATTTTGTTAATGATAGATAGAAATTAACATAAAGCATCTATTTTGTAAAACTTCTTTATTTTCATTGGAAAGGCAGATTTTAGCGTGAAGGAGAGACAGAAAAAAATATCTTCTATCAGTCTCAAAATGGCTACAACAGTTAGAGCTGAGCTGATCTGAAAGTCAGGTGCCAGGAGCTTCTTCCAGGTCTCTCATAGTGTGCAGGGGCCCTGAGGCTGGAGCCATCCTCTACTGCTAGCTCAGGCTATAAGCAGGGAGCTGGATGGGAAGTGGAGCAGCTGGGACAGGATGGGAAGTAGAGTAGCCAAGACATGAACTGGTGTCTTCATGGGATGCTAGTGCTTGGAGGTGGAGGATTAGCAAGTAGGGCCATTTTGTTGGCCCAGCCCAAACTCCTCATTCAAAATGTAGGAAATTGGATGATAGAAAGAAAAAACTGTGAAAGGTTTTGGAGTTAACAGCAAAGTCAGGCCCAAGAGAAAGAGTGACTTCCTCTGCTCTGAGAGCACAAAGCAAGTCCCAGAAACTGACAGGTGCCCAGGAACACTTCTCAGGTCTCCCATCTGAGTATAATTTTACAGGTGGGATTCCAATCCTTCATATGCAACACACTTGAAATAAAAGACACTGAAAAGTTGGAATATGGAGAATGTTTCTTTGTTCAGTACTGGAAAGCAGACAGACTGTCACCCAGCAAACCAGAAGGAAATCTACTCACAATCTGTCAGCCAGTTTCTACCTCAGAGTTTTCTGTCTGTATTGAAACCTCAAAGGGACAAAAAGAGATTATTTGTCCTGTGGGGTAGAAAATATTATTTACTAAACCATCCCACGCACATCTCAGGTCAATTTAATTGAGGCAAAGTTATAAAGATCAAAAGAAAGTTCTATGACCTGCAACTATAATCAATGATGTGAATAAATCTTACAAACATAATGTCGAATGAGAGAAACCAGACACTAAAGGATACATACTGTATGACTCTATTTATATACAGTATGAAACCAAGCAAAACTAATCTCTGCTGCCAAGAGCCCACGCTGGTGGAAGTTTAAAGGACAGACAACTGGAAATAAGCAAGGGTGTGCTTCTGGGTACTAAATACTCTGTCTGGAGGTCAGGGTTACACTAGTGTGCTCAGTTTGTGAAAACGCATTTAACTAGAAACTGGTGAAATGTGAGCTGTTCTTCATGGAATTGCATACCCCTAGCACAGAAATGCACACCTTCCAGAGGCCAACCCTGAGACCATGGACCAAGGCTAGGAATATTCCGGGGTGGATGTTGCTTGTGGAGGTGAGACGTCTTTGCCTTAGGTATATGCCATACACTCAGGTGTTGGGTGAAATATGGATAGGACACATAGGAGCCAAGAACTTTAATATCTGCTTTGGGCATAAACATCTCGGAGGTCTGGAGAAGCTAGCAGAAGAGCAAGATAAGAGATTGGGACATGTCTATCCAATATCTCTCACATAAATATTTCTCTCAAACAGAGAAAATTGTGACGGAAACTGTAAGTCAACTGTTTCCTTCTTAAAATAGTCCAAGTGCTTGTCAAGTGACAAAGAGGAGCTGAAGAAGTATCTGACTACTGTCAAGTCTTCCAAGTTTTACCTAAAAAGGTGTTAATTTTGGTGATGCATGTCACTAGGGGTTAGAGAATAATTTAAATTAATGACATGCAAGCTGGAGCAGATGCTAGAAACTAAGGATGAGATAGAAAAGTAGCTTTCCCCTTAAATGAAATGTGGCCACAACCACAGCAGTCAAGTCTCCTAAAAATAACTAGTGAACTGTGCTGGGGAGGTTAGGGGTGTGAGGAGAGTCTGTCTTCCTTCTTCACCAGATGGTTGTACCCTCAATGTTCTGTTTCTAAAACATACAAAAAAAATTCCCATTCAGGGATGCAATTATATAGATGGTAGCATCTAAATAAGTTATGTTTTCAGGCTGGTTAAAAAACTGGAAGAAATCAGGGTTAATTTCGGACCTAGTCAGATCTTTTTTTATATCTTCCTGTCTTTAAGGATTGAAACACTGACAAGAGTTATTTATCAAAGTTTTTTTTTCTCTCTCAAATACTAACATCAAATTTTACAAATTAAATAGATCTATCAGTCCCCTTTCTCCCTATAACTTTGAGAAAGAGTATTCACCTTCTGGAGATCTCAGAACTTAAATGTTATATATGAGATACTATGCATAATGACGGGCTCTTTGCCACAATTTGTAACACACTTCATGCTCTAATGCCTCTGCTAAGAGCCCAAAGTTGAGAGAGCTTAGAAAAGAGGCCCAAGTTTCTAAGAGATGGTAAATTTACCAGGATGGTGAATTTAGCAGAAATTCTTTAAGATGATCATGATTACTTTTAGTTTCTCCTTAGTCAAACTGTGAAATATATGTCCAAGGAATTTTGATTATTCAAGTACAGAGAGATACACAAATGAAAAGATACATAGAGATATGCCAAAGAATCACTAAACTCATGAGTCCATCTTCACCGAGAACAGACAACACAAGCATACTGACATATGAGCTTGCTAAATGAACTAAAAGAGGAAAGCAAGAAATGATATAAAGCCCTTGAGTTCCAACAGCTTCACCTCTTCAAGAAGGAAGCCAATCAAAACATTCATTATTAATACATGCAGATTATGAGTTATGGCACCATTCTCAGGGTTGTACCTTACAAATAGTTACCTCCCCAGGGCTACCATTAATTCAGCTCAAAAACAAAAAAAAAGAAGGCAGTTCAAATATATATTTTTTCTATAAGTAAGTGGTAGGGAGAGTCTTTATCTTGTGGGCCAATAAGATACCCGTTTTTGTTTTTGCTTTTGTTTTTGTACAAGACTAGGTCATTGTCCTACCTCTGTGAGCAGGAATATCTACACACCTTTTTAAAGAGTCTTCCTGAGTCCTCACTGACTTGGACAAAGCGAGGAATGATGTTATTCAGGTAGATGTCACTCAGGGTGGTGTGGTCCCTGCTCTCCCGCTTCACTTGGTTTAAGAGGAGGTTCCAGCAGTTCACAGGAGAGAGAACGTTTTGATCCTTTCTGCAAGAAACAGCAAGGGAACAAAAAGTTGGTAAGCAAGCAGGGCCAACATCTGCAATCACAGTTCATATCACAAAGTCACAGTCATCAAAGCAGAACTGGAAGTAAGGGGTTTCTTTTTCCTGCAGCATGAACCTCTGAGTTCCTCCTTTTCCTAAAAGCTCAATGAATAAAAATGAGAAAAAAGTAACAAGAAGGTGGGAGAGGGGAGGAGGGATGGAACAAAGAAGGGGAACAGGATTATCTGTGGTGCAGCTGTTCTGTTCTAGGTACTTGGGGGATGCAAGTATATATTATATTAGCAGATCTAACGGCATCATTTCATTATAAGCAAAGCAGTAACAATAATAGGCATTCTACTGATTAGAAGGGATTTGGTACTTGCCCATGATCAGTAAGGAAAAGTCAGGGACAAAAATTACAGTTCTCCATTGCCCAAGTAGAATCTAAGTTAGACTAATTTTAGCCCCTAAGCCATTTAGTTCATCTCAAGAGTTGAGGATAAAAGGTAGCAACTTTGTGTGGAGATAAAATCACTACAGATAGAGATGAAGTTTCCACAGACTTATCCATTGAAGGATTCAGTGACTCTACCATGAAAAGTCGCTGAAACCTTTTTGGTTCCATCTAAGACGGTTTTGATTTCATTGGTTGAATTCATGATCTCACATTCCATACAATCAAGATCACAAGCTATATTGTAAACAAATGTATAATATATAATGTATATATTATATATGTTACTAAAATGTCCATAATTTGAGTGGAACAGTGAAGTCTTAAATCTCGATGTTCATTACTAATTAAAATACTGTGACAGTTATAAATTATCTATTCATGTCATGGCATTAATTTAACTAACCAGAAAGTTCTGCATTTTTAAAAAAGTTAATTTATATTTATTTGAAAGGCAAAATTACAGAGGGACAAAGAAAGACAGAGTTCTTCCATTTGCTGGTTCACTTCCCACATGGCAGCAATGGCTGGGGCCAGGGTAGGCCAGAGCCAACAGAGCCAACAGTCCTTAAGGAGAGAAACAGAAAGAAGGAATGGCTGGTGGTATAATTTACAAAGGGGTACTGCACACTTAGCACCTGGCTAGGCTTTTGACACTATTATTTAACTTAAATGCCACAACTACATGATCAGGTGCAGGCCATTACCACATATGGCAAATGAGAAAAATTTAGACTGAAAGAAAGGTTGAACATCTTGTCCAAGGTGACATCTTAAAAAGTGGCTGTGCAGGAGTTCAAAACAAAGTCTGTAATTGCAAAGAGTGTATTCTTAACTACTGCATACACACACATACACACACACACACACACACACACACACACATACTCTCTCTCTCTCTCTCTTACATTCCATTTGTTCCTCTTTCCTCACCCACCCTCTAGTCAGACTCTTGCTGAATAGAAAGTAAATTGAATAAAGCTTGATCCTTGAGTCAGCGCTACTTCCATTCAGAGATGGAAGCTGCCAGCCACCTGGGATTTGTAAAGTGTGGAGCTCAACTTAGAAGGGGTTATCCAATTCTGTAGTAATAACTACCAACAATAATCAGGCCACACTGACTTGAGCTTGAGAACACATCAGACCAGCAAAACAAACATCTGTCTAACCAAAACCAAGGGTCTGTTTCAATGAATATTAAAGTCCAAATTGAAGCTGTGCTAAGCCTGTCTTCCTTCCCTGTGTTCCAGGCATTACAGCTCTGTAACCAGCATCACTAGCATGCGTGTGCCAAATCCTGTGGTAACATTATGCCCACTCATTCTTCTTGGAGAAACTAAAAGATTTCTCTGAAAATAATAATAATAATAAAAACCATAGTTGACAAGGAGAAAGACATGATTAATCCACTCCTTTCAAAAGAGGGGAGGAGAGTAAAAAATGATCCTAATTTCAAAAGAGGGGAGGAGAGTAAAAAATGATCCTAATTTCAAAATGGTGAGAGATGTGAGCACATGTATTCAATGATATCTGACGATTCCACTACAAGGAAACTTCCAAGTTGATTTCAAATAAATTTCGGTTATTAAATCCTAAATGGCCTAATTTATATTATTTTACAAAGTGGTTTCTCAGTCCTCAATAAGCATGTAATATTCTAGGCAGTTACATTTGCTTTTCAAAGGGGCAGATATTAGAAATGATGGTTCAAGTAGCTGGGTTCCTGCCACCCATGTGGGAGACCTGGATTGAGTCCCCAGCTCCCAGCACTATTTTGGCTCAGCATAGGCCAACCAACCATTGCAGGTATTTGGGGAGTGAACGTATGGAAGAGATTTATTCTCATTCATTCTCTCTCTCTCTCTGTCTCCTCCCCCAGTTTCCTACTGCCTCTAACATAAAAAAATATATATAAGTTTTAAAGGACTATGAAAAAGGCAGGGGCAGATCCCACAAGACCTTCAATTTATAATTGGTTTCAGTCTGTATCTTACGGGTTGGAGGTCTGTTCTAAGTCTCTTCTACAGCACTTTACACACACTCCACAAATGTGTAAGTACTTGTATCTTAGATGAACAAGGTACATTACTAAGTAATTTTGTGGTTATAAAAAAATAAACAGCAGAGTACAGTATAAGAGATAAAGAAAGACCTACAACAAGCAGAAATTTAACAAATGTATGAACAAAGGGCCAGCTAGTTCACAAATGCACAGCGCAGTTTCCAAGCGGAGGAAAACCCAACTTAACATCATAGAAAAGAATACAGAACTGACATTCCAAGACGTCCTCCAAAGGTTGACTACACAAAAAATAAGTTAATAAAATGAATGGATGGAAGTAGGGCTCTTTCTTTTTTTTTTTTTTTTTAAGATTTATTTTTATTATTTTTTCATTGGAAAGGCAGATATACAGAGAGGAGAGACAGAGAGGAAGATCTTCCGTCCGATGATTCACTCCCCAAGTGAGCGCAACGGGCCGATACTATGCCGATCCGAAGCCAGGAGCCTCTTCCGGGTCTCCCACACGGGTGCAGGGTCCCAAAGCCCTGGGCCGTCCTCGACTGCTTTCCCAGGCCACAGGCAGGGAGCTGGAAGGGAAGCGGGGCTGCCGGGACTAGAACCGGCGCCCACATGGGATCCCGGGCGTGCGAGGCGAGGACCTTTAACCACTTGCGCCACCGTGCCGGGCCCAGAAAGTAGGGCTCTTTCAAAGATAAATTGCCTTACCATTTAACACTTATGCATTTTATTAAGAAATTTAAGTCATGTTATCACAAATATTTATTTCTACCCTTACAGCATGTAGCTATTATTGCTTTCATGGAGCAGAAGCTCCAGAATTAATAGAGAACCACAACTCAATTAAGACAAATGTAACAAGTCCATTTAAGTGAGTAAAGGGCTTGAGACTTTTTCCCAGCATTAGACAATATCTGAACATCCATGGGCTACCAGGTGAGCTTTGTTGCATGTAAGCTTTGCAATTAAAAAAAAAATCTTTGAATGTATTGGAACTTTTGAACCATATTAGAATGGCTATTGCTCTGCCTAGGCTAACTTTTAAATTCAAGTTCATGTGTGTTTTTTGGATAAAGCTGTACAGGTGTACACAAAACTTGACACACAATAGCCAGGTTTAATTACATAGCAGAGTTTATGGGATTATGCTGGTTTAATAGTAGATTATGGTTGAAAAATAAGAATTAACTTGTTCAATATCATACCACCTCATTATTAATTGTTTTAAAATTTATCATAAATTCTGACCTGTCCAATTAATATTTATAAAGGTGAATAGGAATAGCTGTAGATAATGTTGGTGATTCAACTTAATGACTTTCTTCAAGCAACTAAAATCAGTTTAAAACTATCTCAAGGTTACAGCAACAAATATGTGTGAATCAAGGCTTTCCTGACATTGGAACCAAAACCAAAAATAACTTTGATGTTGAAACTGATATACATCTGTAACTCCTGTTCACAATTCAGATTTCAGTATTTTTAGTTCATAAACACAGCCTCACTTGTTCGTGTTGATTGCCTTGGTCATAAGTATTCTTAAAAAATTTGTATTCTAAAAGTAGATTTATACCAATAAAATACTGCCTTGATCCATTTCACAAACTGGGGATCTGTGCAAGATTTTTGTTCTAAAAGAAGACTCTATAGCTTAAAAAGTTTTCCAGGAGTTTCCCATCTCTTAATATTCCGGAAGCCTTCTGAACTATAAATGTCTCAAATTTCTTTTTTCTGATAAAATAATTAACTCTGGTTGTATTGTTTTGATGTTGTCATTTATACTGTTAAAACACTGAACATGAAGACAGACATCAATAAAGGAAGATCATTGCATGACTGATACTTCATCAGAATCCATGACATCAGAAAGAACTACTGCAAATAATTATAAAAGGAAAATTCTGGCTGTAGTTTTTATATTAAAAAAAAAAAAAGACCTTTTACTTTTTTTAAATGAGGCTAAATATTGCTACTTTTTTATCTTGAGAGAAGGGAAAATATCATCTAATTGAACTGTAGTCCTCTAATTATCCTTTCCTTTAAATTAAGAGGTAACTCAGCTAAATCCCTATGTGCTCAAGACACAGAAGGGACATTATTCCTGCAGTATGTGCTAAGACTGAACCCAAGTGAGCTACTGGAGGATGCTAAGGCACAGAAAGATCCTTGCTACACAGCTGCCTTTTAAGGCCAGGGGATTCAGGACCACCGTTCCAGTCTTCACTAGATCTTAGCAACAGAGATCCAGGAGAGTTTTGCTATATTTTCAAAGTGAGCAACATACATCAAGAGCACACCTGATAGAGAAGCAACCCTCTTCTACACACATGAAAAGTCTAAAATGGAAACTTCATACATGTAGGAGTGTGAGGAAATGCCATTAGTACTGTCAAAAACTAGCTTCTCCTACAAAGGTCCTGAAAAGGTATATATAGGTATATATATATATATATGTATGTATATATATGTATATATATATGTATATATATATATCTGTGAAAGATATACATATATATCTTTAAAA